AATACAGCCATCCTAAGCCGTTCGCAGGCACCTGACTAACAACTTGCCAGTTAGATCCCTCTTCTGAAACGCCCGGCGAAGCTGGCGTTCAAAACATCGCTCGCGCAATGGTTTTGTGATAAAGTAAAGTTGCAAGAAAGAATAGGATTACTGTCATTGCTAAAGTAGAGTTGTAAGTATAGGAATACTGTAACTGGCAAGCCGTAACGTTGCTGCTTGTTTTTTGTCTTTGGCGACACTAATAAGTCCAATGAGGAATCAATCACAAGCCTATAACATTTAAGCAAGCATTTGTGGCGTGCCAGCGTAGGCGACTATGTAGCGTACGGTCCTCTTTAGCGTACGTCGCGAGATCTAGCCTAAATCACAGAATGGTGGTCAATTCGAATTTTTGCTAGTCTTCACCACATGCGGCACATTGCGGTTAACTAGAGAATGTGCGAGGTAAAACGGACAAAAAGAATTTGATTCAAAGATCAAATTTCAATCGAGCTCAAAATTAAAGACTTAGTTTACGAAAATTACGAGAGCAGTTTCATATTCAGCGGAAAGCCACCTAAAAATCCCTAAAAAGCATTAGGAACTAAATGCGAGAGTGTATTTTGTATGAAGAAATTCAAAAACATACCTTGCATCTAAATGAACTTACAGGTTTCAATCTCTGCAGCTTGTTTCTCAGCTTATCTGGATAGACATAGAGAAGTGGAATCATCGTACTGCTTTATCTTGGACAGTACTGGTCCGGGGTTAGTTTTTCATTATCAGAACCTAGTTCAATAATTGAAATTTTTACCTTGGTCTTGCTTAGTGCACAGTTTCTAATACAAGCTACCGTATCAAGTGTATGTGTGATGTAGTTGGGTGCTAACCATCATTTTTTTTGCCACAACCAGGTAGCAGTTAACCCTCGCCTCCAGTTAACTCATTCGGTTGGTTGTGGGAGTCCTTGTTTTCTCTGTTCTTTTTTTGAGTTTAGACAGCATCAGTTATCAAGTGGCAATTTGCAAACGAAAATCTTTATGAAACGCAATCAACCTATTTTGTAAAACGTTGAAGCTGCGGAAGTGAGAAGTATGACATAAAATGGAATGTGTCTGAGTATTTGAACTGACAAAGTCACAAAATAACTCACAAAATTTCTTTTGTAGCTGATTACCTTTGGCACTGCCCGATTTCGAGGTTGACAGCTCTGCCGGTGAGTGCAGTTCTTCGGACTCTCAAAACTTCGTAAGAAATTCAAATAAAAGATGAACACGATAGAAAACAAATAACATAAGGACGAAAAAGTTTAGTTCAGTAAACTACTGGGCAATAACCTCATCACCATTTAGGAGATCCTTGCCCTCTAGCGCGATAGAGGTGCTCTGCATACTGCGCTATACATATACGGTCTACGTTGCTGACTTACCCTTATTTACGCATCAGAATCCATTGAAGACTACTTACGCGTTTTCGTAAATATACGATAACCTCATACTTCATTCTTACAAGAGAACGATCCCAACTTAAAGTGGGAACTGGTATGATCTGCATATCATTAGAAGCGTTCTTACGAGCTGAATTCAAATCTGCCTTCGCATCTGCGATTCCGTTTTCTGAAAGAAGTTGTGTGTGGTTGAACGTATAAAGACATTGTGGTTTTAATGCACAATGTGCTTTGAAATGATAAAATGGCCAGCATGATATTGAGTGTATTGATTTTAAAGAATGTTTACATTTAACGGAAACACAAAGAAGTGTTTTTGATCAACTAATTCTTGAAGTGGCGTGGTATAATTGTAAAAAATCTATAAGACTGATAAAAGTAGTCAATACTTCAAAAAACTAGTCTATTATTCGCAATTGGCATGCTCACTTACCCCCCCCCCATGCCAACTCTCCAGTCTCGTAGCTCGAACTTTGCAAAAAAACGATAAAAATCGATACTGATCGATGACGAAAAGCAGCCTATGACAGCCGCCCCACCTAGAAGTGTGAGGGCAAAGTTTGATCCGAATCGGTTCAGAAATAAAAAATTCTATTTGGACAGACACACACAAAGGTAAAAAACTTTGTGAAGCTCTTTGATGGAAATATTTCTTCCATCTTTTTTGAAAAATAAAGCTCTTTATACACTCATTGTGAGAGAAATGAAGTGCTGTATAGAATTATGAACGTCTAGTGCTTTCCTGGGATTTATTATGGCAAAAACGAAGTGTACTAAAATACCTCATAACCTGATGCGTAATACTCCATTTAGGTACTCAACATTCCACTTCATATTCGTCAGCGCCAGTTCCACTTTATCGCTTGTATCAATGATTATTTTGATGATGTTAGCGGTATGAACGACCACTTGCATATAACTTTTGGAAATTCATGTCTGTCACAGAAAAGAACATATAGAAGTACCCAACAAGCGATAGCAATCATCTATCTAGTAAGTCAATTGTATTTTATCTCTCTGTTAGGATTGTGGGCTAGCCCGGAGTCAAAACATTACTGTAGAAAAGTATTAATTATGTTGACAGAAAAAGCACACAATTTCAAGAGTGAGTTACGTGGTGTATAATAGGGTTCAAGCATATAAATAGACTGCTCTTATGCTCTGAGGACGGCTCTATCTTGTAGTACGTGAGGTATGTGAAACTACAAAGACAATCCTTAAATGGAGTGAACAAAAATGCAATTTAAGCTGATTGAGTTCCGTCTTACTAGGGAAGTAACACACACACACACACACACACACACACACACACACACACACACACACCACACACACACCACACACACACACACACACACACACACACACACACACACACACACACCCACCCACACACACACCCACACACACACACACACACCCACACACACACACACACACACACACACACACACACACACACACACACACACACACACACACACACACACACACACACACACACACACACACACACACACACACACACACACACACACACACACACACACACACACACACACACACACACACACACACACACACACACACACACACACACACACACACACACACACACACACACACACACACACACACACACACACACACACACACACACACACACACACACACACACACACACACACACACACACACACACACACACACACACACACACACACACACACACACACACACACACACACACACACACACACACACACACACACACACACACACACACACACACACACACACACACACACACACACACACACACACACACACACACACACACACACACACACACACACACACACATACACACACACACACACACACACACACACACACACACACAAGTCACTTAAACACCCTTGGCCTTATTATAAGTGACTAGCTGGGAAACCCGGCTTTGCCCGGCCCTGTCATTATTATATTCGTAATCAGCATGCTCGATTACCCCCGTGTGCCAACTCCCAGCCCCGTAGCTCAAATTTTGCAAAAAATCGATAAAATCGATATCGATCAATGACGGAAAGTAGCCTATGACACCCGCCGGGGCCGAAGTGTATGTGTGCCAAGTTTGGTCCAGATCGGTTCAGAATTGGAATTTTGTATTCGGAACATACGTACAGACAGACAGACATACATACAGACAAACAGACTTTCAGCTTTATATATAAGATTAGCGACAGCCACAAGTCTCACCCGAGGCTCCAAATTAGTTTAGCTTATAGAACCTGAACCTATGCTATGAACCTAGAACCTATGCTTCTGAACTTCTTCAAACATGCGCAAAAAGCGCTTTGAGAAGAACTGCCGCATCCTCTCGACTTTGAGATTGAAATAGACTCTATCGCCCCTCCTTACAGGACTAGGAAGAATGATCGGTTGGAACATGAAAGTTTTCATAATTCTAGATTTGAGTGAACAAATCAATAAACCGATAAAGGGGCTCAGTGATTCGCCGATATCGCCGCTGAATCACCGCCGAAAAGTAGCCCCAAACCATCATCGAGGTCGAAAAAATAGGTGTGCAAAATTTCAACTTAATCGGCTGGCGTTTCTATAGCAAACGAACAACCTAACAAACATCCTCACAGCCTTTGAGTTATTGCTTTGGCAACAGTTCATATCCATCTCAAGTTTGAAGTCAAAAATCAAAAAAATTTAACCGCCCGAAAATTAAATAAAAAATCGTAACTCCTTTTCAAAAAAAATTTAGGAAATTTCTAACTTGCTCAAAGATATACTATCCATATCAAACATTCATTTGTACTGCTGCTGTATTTTTTCATTTGATAGAAAACAAGTAAACAAAAAATTTCATGTTTTGCCAAAGTAGTGTTGTGCTGTCCCCACATTAGTAGTTGTATACTACAAAGCAGTACAATTACAAACTTGAATTTTCAGCGCTCTACAGGCTTTTGTTCTCGAGAAAAATCCGTTCTAATAAAAGACTCCCGAATGAGCGAAGCTAAATTCAATGTTTCTCGAGAACTAAAGTCTGAAGGGCGTCGAAAATTATGTCTGTACTTGTACTGGTCTGTACTATACAACTACCAATATGGGGACAGCACAGCACCACTTTGGCAAAAACGTGAAAGTCGTTTTCTTGACTTCTATTTAAGGAAAAATACAACAACAGTACAAATAAATGTCTGATGCGGATAATGTGTTTTTAAGCAAGTTAGGAATTTCTTAGAAATTTTTTCAAAGGAGTTACTTTTTTTTCTTATTTTTCGAGCGGTTTGGATTTTTTTGGGTTTTGGCTTCAAACTCGAGATGGATTTGGACTGGTGCCAAAACGGGAAAGTCGTCTTGTAGAGTATGCTTTGCTTTATTGAAGGGTACCTCGAAACCTACCTAAAATCAAGAAGTTCATGACTTATTGCGGTTGAAAATCAAAACGGACGGAACTTATGGGACAACCTGAATATATACAGATAATAGAAGGGCAGTTCGCAGGTCTTGAGCAGTTGGCAAAATCCAATACAAACTGGGCTTTCTTTTTACTTGTTGATTTCAGACACGTCACCGTACCGGATTTATCACACGGTCGCTCATGCTTTGGACTGCCATTTCTGCATTGTCTACACTCTTTGTTTCGCTCCCATCAGCACTAATGCTCGGCACTATATGGATTGACAAGGATTATGTTAACGACGATGTAATTGTGTCTCTAGTCTACATCACTCCAGGGTCAGTTGATTATCAGGTATCTCATAGAAATAACCATACTTTTGAGCGAACCTCCTCAGTAAGCTTTCTAATTTCCAGCGTTACTGTTAGAGTAATGTTTTTCATTGGAATATAAAGGAAATAGATGTTTTGCTTCAAAACTGACAGGCGCAAAGGAAATTTTGCACCATGTACAGTTCTGAAAATAAAGCGCGGTTCATAATTATACGAACACCTTGAATTTTGAAAGGTTTTGGACTTTTTGGGAGAAACTTAAAAAGCCGTTGGTACCACGCGATAGAGCACAGCCGAAAACGGTATATGATATGATACATAAGAATGGAAATCGATGTCAGTTTTAAGAGTGTTTTGTGCCTAATGCGAATTTTTAGCGGTTCATAATTATACGAACACCTCAAAAAAGGCCCATTTTTCATTCGCGAGTGCAATCTTTCGAGTCCAAATTTTTTGTAGAGTTACAGTAACAAAGTCTGAAACATCCGCTACACACTGAACCCATGCAGTTAAAAAAGAGGATCTTTACTTTTTTCAAATGGCTCTAAATGCTTTTGGAGTGATTGCGCTTCAAAAACATTCATTCTTCTGTAGTTTATGCACTCTAATTAGCTTCTACCAAGGTTATGAGACAAAATAAGCTCCTTCGATAGGTATCTTGTTTAACGCTTGAAAAATCTTTGTGTTTCCGTCCCGTTTTTCCACCAAGTTCCAAACTTACCCTAGAGTTAGCACGATTTCAAACCTCTAAACTCAGCTTCTGAAGCCCTACAACGAAATAAGCTTATATTATGTAGAAGTTCACAAGACTGTGTATTTGGCTAGAAAGAAATCAGCAGCATTGAGCGTTTGTTCCGGCCACGCAGACGTCATTTCACCAAAACCACTGTTTTTACTAATGCAGTCATACCTTTATTTGGTTTGTAGCTCCATAGCCTCAAGATCAGTCCTACAAAAAACCCAAAACTTTGACATGGATACGTCATCATGCAAACAATGCAGCTGCTTCATATCAAGTGTTTGCGCGGGAGAAAAGCTGAGTTTTGAGACTCGAAATCGTGCTGACTTTAGGGTGAGTTTCAAACTTGGCTGAAAAGCGGCATCAAAACGCAAAGATTTTCCAAACGTCAAGCAAAATTCCTATCGAAGAAGCTTATTTTATCTCATAGCCTTGGTGAAAGCTAATTAGAGTGCGTGAACTACAGAAGAAAGGATGTTTTTGGAGCGCAATCACTCCAAAAGCATTTAGAGCAATCCGAAAAAAATAGAGGTCCTCTTTTTGAACTGCACTGGGTTTAGTGTGTAGCAGATATGTCAGACTTTGTTACTGTAACTCTACAAAAAATTTGGACTCGAAAGATTGCAATCTTGAATGAAAAATGGACCTTTGTTTGAGGTGTTCGTATAATTATGAACCGCTCAAAATTCGCATTAGGCGCAAAAACACTCCTAAGATTAACATCGATTTCCATTCTTATGGATCATATACCGTTTTCGGCTGTGCTCTATCGCGTAGTACCAACTTCTTTTTTAAGTTTCTTCCAAAAAGTCCAAAAACTTTCAAAATTCAAGGTGTTCGTATAATTATGAACCGCACTTTATATGAACTTTTTTTTTGTTTATACAGACATAGACGGTACGTAAATTTCCTGACCAGCGTCTCCCCAAAGTATGTACAAATTGACATTTACTTTCTCCCTTCCACAAAGCCTTTTGTCAACGCTCAGGTACCATTCGTAAAGCTGGCTTAAACTTAGTTAATAGTATGGTGCAATCAGCGATCGCTTTTCACTACAGACTGCGGGGTAGTAAGAGGTAGTATAAGGTAGTATACAGGGTGTCCCAAAAAATGTGCACACTGTTTGATTGTAAATGACTCTCTTGTAATAAAGTGTTTCGAGAAGCTTTAAGTACCATTTTGTAGAGCGAGGTTCAGCTTAGATTTACAGTGTAGCCCGAATCGCCGATCGCTCATTCTTACTGTAGGATTACGTGAGAAACTTCAAACATATGGTGTCACTGTGAAAAACGGCCGTTTCAGAAATTTTCAAAAAAATGTGGAAACTTATGTAATAGGGTTTACGGATGCTGAGTTCGATACCCAACTCTTTACAAAGTTGCGAAACTTTCTAAACGGTGTAACCGCACTTTTTAGGAACATTGAAAAAATGGCCGCTATTGCTTACCTCGCATAATTTTTTAATGAAGCATTACGAAAAGTTGCAAACTTCACATTTAGAATCAGCAACTCTAATTAGCCCAGTGTGAGAGTTTTCAGTTGTTCTGACTCATTTTTGGAACAAAATATGGCCTTTCGTGGCTCAAAACCCTCTTCAAAGTTTCTACCGTAATCCTACAGTAAGAATGAGCGATCGGCGATTCGCTCTATACTGTAAATCTAAGTTCTCGCTCTATAAAATGGTACTCAATGCTTCTCGATACATTCATTACAAGAGAGTTATTTACAATCAAACAGTGTGCACATTTTTTGGGGCACCCTGTATAGCGTTATTGTGAACTTGGCACTTATTATGCCGGCTACGGTACTTAAAATAGCGGGCTAGTGATGTTTACGGGTTTTTGTGTGTGTGTTCTGTCTGTCTGTCTGTCTGTCTATCCTTCCGTTACAAAACTGAAATGTGTTGCAGCCAAGGTCCTCAGCTATCTTCTACATAGCGCATGCTACCAGCATGCAAGGCCACTATGCAAAAGCACGAAAGGATCCCTTGAGTGGATCACTCAAAAATATTGGCCTCAAACGATTTACTTGTCTCCTAGTTGGCAAAATTGTGCCTGTAGCACAACGTCTCGCAAAGTAATGGATATATCTGATAAATTAATGGCAAGTCATGAATTTTAGCTCCAAAAAGTAAACAAATTTACTACTTTACGAAAACGGCGCCAAAAAATTGGCTGCGAAACTGTCAATTAATCAGCATTTTACCTGATTATTTGAGAAGATTTTGCACAAAGATTCAGCCCACAGTAATTGTTGTCCTTATGGCGACTACCAGCCATACAAAAGTCTGAAAATCAATTCAAATTTGTATTTATTCTTCTGGGAAAGTTTCAGCCCGCGAAATTACCGATCTCACATGAAGAAGTTTAAAATGAGTAGCTGTTTCCAAATCATTGGTAATGATCTGCACAATGCAGTGAGTCTCAATGTCACTACTATGCGCGAATGAGTAAGGCTATAGGTAGTAAGACCAGTGCGAGTCTCTGCCAACAGAGGTGACGTATGGTTACGGTGTAATTGGTATAAATTCCAAACGAAGCATGTGAATTGCAAATTTCGTAATTGTCAGCGGCTCTGATATTGAACGATGCAAGAGTTTTTGGCTTCTTTGTTTTTCTTTCTGAGATGAATGGCTTTCAATGGCTCAAAACCCTTTTTGAAGTTACCACTAAACCTACAATAATGATGAGAGAATAAGGTGAAACCAGCTCTACAAACTATAGCTAAAAATAAACTTTGTAGGAAGCGAGCCATAAAGAACAACTGTGGGTACGTCTTTGAGACACCCCGTATATCCTTCCAAATGTTTGTATACTTTTTTAACCTTCTAAAGCCGCGTCATTTTTCGCCTTTTTTTCAAACGCGGTTGTAGTCGAGATTTTGAAGTTTTGGCGTAAGCGGTGAAAACTCATTTGTTCTGTAGAGTTGAGTGAATAGCGATTTACTGAACCGAACTGGAGCTTTCAGATGTTTGATGCGTTTGCGTAGTTGGAAATATTTTCAAATTACACAGAGAAGAAAGCTGGAAATGTCCAAAAAATGTATTGCACTGCATTTATTGTAACAATTATGATAGCTTTATCCGTGAAGCCTCTACAAATCGTTAACCAACTACGCTTGTCAAAAGAGGGAGAAACAAAGAGGGAGAAGTAAGGTGCATGCCTCCGTGCATTCCTTGATAATATGGTATGGCTCCCTACCAACTTGGAAAACCTATTTATAGAAGAACCAGAACAATTGGGAAGTAGTCTACTAGGTAGGTATCGTGTTGCCACAAGTAAGGTCCGTATGCACGTACATTTCCGCTGGGGAGGGGAGGGAATCTGAGGGGGGATGCGTCATATCTCGCTACTTTACGTATCCTTCTTCTTCTTTCTCTATCTTGCTTATGAAGTTTCTCACACACTTATACTTGCGCGTAGTAAATGTCAGGTTACTTCCATAGAAGATAGGTCTTTTGCCATTTTGTGTGATCCCAGGGGATCCCCAGGGGATCTCCAGGAATCCCTCTTATTTTCAAAGTATTTATCTTCGTGAGAAGTCAATGAAAACTTGTACTGAGGATAGCTGCTAAGCATACTTTCGATAGGAGAAAATGAGTCTTGAAATCGTGAATTTTTCGATAATCCCTAGCTCGAGAGCAGTAATTCATCGAAGATTTCAATATCCTGAGATTTCGTTTATTCCTACTATAAACGCCTTAGTATATCCTCAATAGAATTTTGCAGCATTTTCATTGATTTCTCAGGACGATAAGAATGAGAAGTAGTCCCCTGGGGATGCTCAAGGGATCACACGAAACGGCAAAAAACCAATCTTGTATGGCAGTAACCCTGGCATCCATTATGCGCAGGTATAAGGGTATGAGGACCTTCATAAGCTAGATAGGGAAGGAAGGGAAAAATACCTAGAGTAGCGAGATATGGTGCATCCCCTCTCAGATCCGCTCCCTCCCCAGCGGATATGTACGTGCATATGGGCCTAAATCTGCATTGAGTGTTCACAACCACTGAGACGGCTGCCGAATAAAGGCGTATTCCTTAACTCATGTTCATCAAAAATTCCTTATTTTGCTTTGCTTGAGGTTGTTGAACGTGGAACTGAACTGTTTCAGAGTCTTCTCCGTTGTAGGCACTGTGACTATATTTGCAATAGTGAAAGACTTGCGACAAAGAATAAATTCCGTTTTGCAATCATGGTAGGTTTTTGATAACTTCAACATCAGTCAGTTGATTGTGAGGTTTTCCCTTCAGCTCAACTTGCCTGAAACGCGTGCTTCATCGGGCCGCTTTTAGCTACCAGTTATAGTTACTAACTAATGTCATGGAGGAATTACGTCTTTGGAGGAGGTATGGAAACGCCTACGAGGAAAGGATACTTGTTGACTCCGGCCATGTAGAATGCGATGTCTACCGTAAGGTGCACCTCGAAACGCTGATTCTAAATCTGTGCTCGAGATCTGCGAAACGATCATTTAGAGGCAAATATGAACTTTTCTCCGTAGAAAATTTGCCTACTTTTAGGTAGTCAAAATTACCCAATTTGATCTATTTTACCGTTCAAAGCTATTGAGGAGAATCTCGAAAGGTGTAACGTTGTACTTATACCCATCCAAACCATATTCAACATTTGAAGAAGAAAAAAAATTTTTGTTAATGATTTTTACCCTCCGCAGTAGCGCAATTCATTTTTGAAAAAGTAATCATGATCCTATCCATGTTCTCGTTTCGCAGATACGGAAAACAGTATTCGACAGCATTATAAGGCGCATTTTTTGATGTACAAATCATTATGAACGGCCGGGGTCACCAAGTACCCTTCCCTGTTTAGATAGATGACACTCATCTGCGCCCCAGCCCCCCCCCCCCCTCATAAAGTAGAGAAATTCTAAACTTTTTTTTCATTAGTCTTTACAGCAGACTTTGCAGCTTGAACGTATCCAAACCTCGTGCTGCATACCATTTTTATGAAATCGTGTTCAGTCATTGAACGAGTATCTCTTTAATTTTATACGCATATTTCTATTGCACATAATATCACCATATTTGTTTGTTGTGCTGTACTTCTGTCTGCAAATATTAGCGGTTTGTTGTCAGTAGTAAAATTTTGCCCAAATTTTGAGTTTTTCTAACAAGAAAAGGATGATTGGTAACCGCGGCCTTGTGTATGTTATATATCAAAATGCTCGCTTTGAAATGCTAATTTCGAAACTATGTTTGTTATAAGCGGATTGCTTTTCTGAAAAGGAATAGCGCTTGTGAAAGGAAACGCGGATAAATTCGCAATCGACAGAGCTCAAACCGGCCTTTATTGTGCAATTATCGATGCATCGCTACATTCTTCCTTCCATTCAAATCTCTATCATAGCTTATAATAACGGGCTAAGGGTTGTTTACGTTTGTCTGTGTATGTTGTGTGTGTTGTGTGTGTGTGTTGTGTGTGTGTGTGTGTGTGTGTGTGTGTGTGTGTGTGTGTGTGTGTGTGTGTGTGTGTGTGTGTGTGTGTGTGTGTGTGTGTGTGTGTGTGTGTGTGTGTGTGTGTGTGTGTATCTCTGTCTGTCACGAAATTCGTAGAGCGTGTTCCAGCCAACGTCCTGAACCCGACTTTTGCATAGCGCACGCTACCAGCATGAAAGCTTACTATACAAAAGCATGAGCGGATCCGTTGAATGGATCCGTTGAAAAATGCGCGTCAAACGGGTTCACTTGGCTTCTGGCCATCAAATTTGGGTCCGTAGTACTACTTTTTGCAGAGCTAAGAATGTATTTGACAAGCTAATGTGCAAGCCATGGACGTTAGCCTAAAAAAGTAGTGTAAAGCTTACTACTTTACGAAAACAACGCCCAAAAGCATTCGCTGTGTAAACGGCCAATTTTTCAAGATTTTACCTGATCATTTGAGAAGATTTTTGCACAGAGATGTAGCCCACTATATTTATTGTTCTTACGGCGACTACCAAGCCATAAAAATTCCAAAAACCTACTCGAATTTGCATCTGTTTTTCTGGGAAAGATTTTATCCACACGAAAATACCGCAAATTTGCATGGTAAGGGCTTTTTTGTAACACCACTGTAGGTTTACAGTTTATAATTTCAGCTTAGTCAAGAAAATGACGTTGATTCAACAAATGATTATAAGATTTGTGTTTGTAGATCATATAACCCACCATTATGTGAAGTCTTGGCGAATTTTGAGGTTTTAACTCCTTAGTCATTTACGGTTGCCATCAGCAGTTTTGCGTACTGCGGGTTGTCCAACTTTGTGGAGGCGTCAAATCGAGTTATCTTCAAATTTTAGCAATAATTCACACTCAATTTCGGATCATTTGGCGTGATCTTGGTTGCTAATGACTTCATTTTGGCTTTAAGCCCCGAAAATTCTCGGAAATCATCAGTTTTTCAAAAAATCTCTGATTTTTCTTATTCATTTTCAAACTTCACATAATTTGTGCACAGTTGTAGAACACATAGGGGCAAGTGGCGTAGTGGTACGAAGCGCCGCTATGACCAGATCGAGCACATGTTCAATGCGACCCTAAGCCAACGAAGCCCTTTACTGTCAATCGCCGGTAAATTGATGCCAGAGTAATTTGGGAAGATAAAAGCACTATCTTGGTAATCGGCTGGCCCACGAAAGTCACTGTAAAGGCCCGCACGCATACAGTTGCCTCTTCGACCATTTAGTATGCGTTCGGCGCATGCCCGCAGAGGTTATTGAAGAAGCTGAATCCTTGACTTTTTATTCTTTATGTAGAACGCGTTACATTCTACATATTGCCGAATTAGTGCGCAACATCCAAAGAGAGGAAAGTTGTGAAGGGAGTTGCAAAACTTAGTCTCCAACTTAATAACTAGGATAGTCTTGTTTTTTTGAAAATTTACTCATAAACAAAAGCTTGTTTCTTTTTTGAATAATGCAATCGACGATATAAGCCATAACTTTAAGCTTTTTTCAAACTCGAAGAACAGACTCTTCTTGAATGGAAACTAGAAGTAAGCTTCTATAAGGAAGGCACTGTGCTGCAGCACATACCTCCTTTTGCTTTGATAAATGATGATGAACGCCAAAAATGTATATGTTGTGAAAATCCTCAGAAGACCAAAATATGATATATTTACTTTACCCTTATATGTTGCGACAAGAAGCGGTTTTGCAAGGTGATTGGATATTGAATCAAATGAAACATTTTATTGTTAATTGATGTATGTCAGAAGACTTCAACATTCATGGATACTGCTTACAGTCACTTCTGCCGCTCCGATGTGGCCCTTACGGCAAGAGCGGTAGTTGTCTAGAACACTTCACTTCAAGTGAAGATTATGTAAGGTCTACTCAGGTTACTTACCACAGCTGGATTGATATCATAGCCATTTGAAAGAAAGCGTGATCCAAACCTGATGAGAACCGCTTGGAATAACGAAATTGTGGCGATTAGAGCTTACTTGTCAAGAAACAACCTGGTCAGACTATTCGGAGGAAATGTATGGCGAACTATCCATGTTCTTGCGTCAATGTCTCTTGTATACTCACACATAACCTGCAAGATAGAACTTACTTGCCAAGAAATAACCTGGTCAGACTATTATGAGGAAAGGTTTCACCATCCTCTTACAAGGGAAGGACACTTGGTCACCGCGGCCATTCATAAGGGTTTGTATATCAAAAAATGCGCCTTTTAATGCTGATTGGAATACTATCTTCCTTATCTGCGAAACGATAATCTGGATGGAGTTATGATTGATTTTCCATAAATAAACTGCGTTACTGCGGAGGGTTAAAATCATCAATAAAAAATTTTCGTTTCTTTTCAAATGCTGAATATGATTTAGATAAATATAACACAACAGTTTCTTTTTAAGATTCTTTTCAATAGCTTAAAATGGTAACTTAGAACAAATTTGGTGATTTTAACTACACAAAAGTACGCAAATTTTCTACGAAAAAAGTTCATAACTTCCTTCAGAAGATCGTTTCGCAGATATCGAGCAATGATTTGGAATCAGTGTTTCGAAGTGCATCTTACAGTATACATCGCATTCCAAATTGCCACGGTGACCGAGTATCTTTTATTTTTTCCTTGTTAGAGGCAGTCTCCAGGCAAACTCAAGCACATAGGTTTTTCGCATGCGGAAACTGATGAAGGGGCCCTAACTAAGGCACTGCTCAAGTGGCAGCGGAAATCATCCATTCACGGCTGAGAAAATTATCCTTATATCCCTCAATCCTTGCGCCATGACCGTAACTCGCAAGTGACAAAGGACTGGTCTTACAAGGGAGGTCCGATTAGTCGAAGCGGCCTTTCCAAATGAGTCCTGTACCACTTTGAAGAGCATCAAACGATGAATCCAAATCTGATTTCATTATCTGCCGAGCGCCTCTGCATGCCGAATTATGAAGATTTTCTTGGTGCGAAAAATGAACGCTTATTCTGGGCAAAACTAATTTTACGACCTTTTCAGCGCTCAAATAGAGCAATGTTAAGTATGTGTTTTGGACAGAAGGTATTGTTCAGGGTGCCCTCATAATCAACACTAACCATTCTGAGCAATTCTGACGAATTTTATGCTAATCATGCATTTAATTTTTCAAATCAAAAAACGCTCATAACTCGACGTCCAGAGGCGCTCGGCAGATAAGGAAGACAGATTTGAATCAACATCCGGTGTTTTTTATAGTAGTGTCAATTTCATATGAAAAGGCTACTTCGACCAAACGGACCTCCCTTGTTCCTCCGAATGCAGTTCTAATTGGAGGAGAGTCATTGCGGGTTACGGTCACTCCCTACAAAGGCTCGCAAGCAATCAGTGTTCTCTTCAGCTATGAAATAAAGTGATTTTGGCGCATGCCCCAGAAAATATCAATTTTTTCAGATCATTTCAGTCCTTTTGATTGCTGTACTAAAAGAAACGCGAGTCTGTCAACACTATTCGTCATGGAGTGTACGCGTTTTCGAATCCTTTTTGCTTGAAGCAACATCACAACAGCCTTCAGGTACATAAAGATGCAACTGAAAACTCTCAAAGACTTGTATTAGGGAAGCAGCAGCACAATCCGAAACTAAAGGAACACATTCTGTTTGGACATTTCCACGAATAAATCTCACACAGTACAAAGAATGCGCGTCAACTCCTGTTCCTCCTCTTCGCCTATGCGGCAAAAAAGTATTTACAATCATTAGTATCGATACACACCAAGGTGAAATTTATCTTACCCTATCTAGAAAGGCTCGGCAAGAGGGTAAAAATGGACATGGGACACTTTTGCTCTCGCCATTCTCAAATTCCGCAATACTTTCCTTGCTCAGGCGGTTTTGTCATTCAACTCAGGCGTGCTATTTTTCTCAGATCTTGACTTCTTATTTTGGGTTCAAGCGATGAAAGTTGCTATCAAGCTCAAATTGGCTTCAATTGATTGCACTTTGAATGTAAGGCTTAGGAAGACACATGTTGTCGCCGTCTTCGCGCTATTTAACGTGATTTGGGATTCAGCGTTGCAGATTATCCCAGGTAAGCAAATTTGCTAAAAATCGAGTTCTTGCCCGAAAACTGCCTTTAATGCAATTCGCTTCCCAGCTAAGTGGGAGAAAATCAGGACACTCCAAAAGGATTTCTTCTCAAAGGCGTAAAAAATTTACGTTGATTTTGCCTTTGATTCATTGTTTTTTCAGATTTAATTCCAAGTTACGATTAAATGAACGACGAAATATGACATCATAGAAAGGGCAAATTAGAAGGCTTGATTTACGTTTGAGGAGTCAGCTATCCTTTCAAGCCCTTAAAAAAAAGCTTACTTCGTCTTCCGTGATCCGAAAGAGGGATGAAACAACTGCTACTGGTATAGCATACCATGCGGTTGGCTGTACTCGTTTTATAACCTCTGAGCATGGTATAACTGAATCCCCAATGTCCAGAATTGCCTTAAAGAGAAAATAATGCGGAATTGATTGGTAAGTCAAAAATATACATACATTGGCAGCTACAGCTATAAGATAGACTACCAAGTAAAGGGATACGGCTATCACCACTGCACTGAAGACAGCAAATCCGTAACCCAGTGGATAAGCCAAATCTGCAAATATGTTATAGAGTCGCTATGTAAGCGTACTGTCTATGTCAGTTACGTACTTCGTTTTCCATGGGAACTACGCGCCCGCAAGGCGAGAGCATTGCATGTGGGTCTTTGAAATCGAGACCATAGGTTGCCGTTGTAGGACCCCATAGTACTCTCTCTGAGTTATGCGCTCCCTAAGGCCCCGGACAGACTTCACGCGATTTGATCGTCGCGACTGAATCGCGACGAGACAACTGTTACAACATCATTCTATGCCGATCAACTTGCATTTCGGTTGTGATACTTTTCCAGCCCGAAATTTTTGAATTTGAAATGAAAATGAATGGAAATGTCGGCGATTGAGTCGCGAAGATCAAATCGCTTGAAGTCTGTCCGGGGCCTAACATACCCTGGAGACCTCGGCAACATCGGTAACGCCGGCCATTGGCAACAGTCGCCGGCAACCTATGACCTTTTTCTTTGAATTGGTGAGTACAATCCGACGTTCATGCAGTACGCGCGCTAACATTGACGAGGGCGATTGCTTCAATGGAAGACAAGACGGACTGACACCACTGTAATTATGCAAAGAAAGCAACTCAAAATATGCATTTGAATCATCGACATAGCAAAAGTCAAGGTCACGTCTTCAAATCGTTCATAACAGTAGTCTCATACTTTTTTCAATCTCCGTTTCGACACTTTTTAACTTCCAGTGCAACTTCAAAAATTTTTCTGTGGTGAGATTGTGCAGCGTTTACCTTTACGCTGCTCGACTGATTTACAGCGAGCTTTGTTCTCTTCCTGCATGAAAGATATGATTGTGAAGTCCAGTATCCAGTTTATAGGCGGACTTGTCTGCAAGATTTTGAAATCTTCACCACGATGCTGAGCGCTGTGGCCATTCAGTCAGCCGTGAAGAGCTTATGTCTTATGGTGGCCACTGGACTGGCTTGTCATCATTAGTTATGTAGTTCATATAAAGATGCCCTAAGGCGCCGCATTTTAAGCCATCTCTCAAGGGCCGGGCATTTCAGTCGCGACGCGATTTGACATTTCGCCAGAAGTCTTTTGATGCAACACTAGCAAACTTATGCATAGTTTGTATAACTTATGATATTGATAAAATGTCCTATCTTTTGTACATTTGGAACATGCTTACAGTGATTTATGGACAGTTGGAATATTGCCAAATCTTTATGTTCACTTTTAACTCAACGAAAGTGAATACCAACCTTCATATGGCATAACTTCTAAATGAACCACCGTGTATGTAAATGAGTGTGATATGCGAACTCTTTCATGCATTTTTCCATATATTTTTTAGACTGATAAGAAGCATGATCTAGTGCGGTATGTATTAATCTCACAGACTGATAAAGAATTAACTCACCTTAGTCTAAACTCACAAGAGCGCGGTTGCCCTAAAAACACCAAACTACCTATCTCTCCGTTACTGTAAAATTAGGGTAGGAATTTCTAGCGTACACTGCCCTTCTGGATCCGCCTTCCATGTTCATTTTAAAGAACTCTGAAAGGCTGTGCCACGGTGTCAGAATTTCCCGGTCTTCACAAGGAAATGGTCATAAATCGAAGTAGCCAATTCAAACTAGAAACAGCATAAAACGCTGAATTCGAATCTGTAATCCATATCTGCTTAAAGCCTATGTGGGCGAAGTTAAGAGGCGTTAAAGGCCGTTATATTGCCAAAAAAATCGTGCTTGCAAAGCCCAAATTTGGCAGTACTGAGCCATGTTAGTCTCAGTGCTAGGCCAAAACATGCAGTTAGGTTGACTACATTCTTGAAGCTAAAGCTGAGCTGAAAGTGTTCAATCTCAAGTTCACTATTTTATGTAAATTTTCCGCAATAAAACTGCTCATAACTTCGTGAGACACTAAGCAGATACGGAATACAGATTCGAAATGCTTGGACGAACCACTTCGACTTCTGACCACTCCCTTGTTAGATGATGGAAACATCTGTTATTTTTGACTTGGCATAATTTATAACAAGGCGTTGAGGCAGAATGCATGCGAAGTGCATATCTAAGCACTCTCACTAAATTTAAACTACTATGTTAAATGAGTTCTAAAATTTGTTTGCAGGCAATATCGACCACTCAATATCCAAAAAAATTCTTCAAAGTAATGCTGTACTATCAAAGAGAGGCTGTATTTGCTCCATAAGGTAAATCTAGGTTGATGCCAGCTCTGAAATAATTTTGAGAAGCCGTGAAAACTATTGTACAAGAATTATTGGGAATTAAGTGATACAGGCTCTGGCTCTGGGACACCCTGTATGTACTTATCAGCTTGAAACTCGTCCTTAGCTGAGACATCAATTTTAAGCGAGTTGAGTCGAAGCAGCAGAGCCCGCGACGCTCCAAGCTACTATGTCAACTGTTCCTTATTCCTGATTAGGAATTTTAAAATTGTGAGTGTGCACAATTCCCTAAAGTGAGTTTCTTCATGCAGTGCCCACATGCAAATCAATAGTCAATAAACAAATAGAATGAGGGGGGCAGCCAACATGAACGATAGCTCGTGCTAGTTATATGCGTTGCGTAGGTCAAATATTCCTAAAGTTCTATATATGCGCTGTGATGATATCTAGGAAATCGGAAAAAACGCTGGAAGATCAGCATGCCCTAACTGTTACCTAACGACACCATTTTCGATCCAGTGAAGAATATATCGCTTCAAAAAATAAAACTTTTTGCGCGGCATATCACCGCATGAGTACAGTATGCTTATTGCCAGCTATTGTTCATCTTGGCATACACCCAAAAAATGAAAATGAAAAAAAATAAATAGTCGTGTTGTATCATCTCCTACAGTGTTTTGAAGACTGTGGAAGCGCTATTGATGTAAAGTGAGCATGCTACTCTTTGGTTCTTAACCTTTTGACTGCTTCTAATGGAAAGCGGCTTTGTTTATTTTCTACTAAGTTTACAGGATCATCATCTGCGTTTGCCTCACCTTTAAACTGAATACGAATCTTTATTTCAATAAGCAGTTTTTAGATTTCTCAACGCTCAGCTCCACTCAATTTTTCGGCCGACAGCTTCAAATGGGTGAGGGAGCTTAGGAATCCGAGCCTAATTATCTCGATTCGGGGAGTGCCTGTGGTTACAGTCACGCTCGCTGTCTCTGATTGCTCACTAGGACATAGCAACAATCTAAGCCCCGCCCCCATGAGAGCCTGTTTGGAACCTAGCCAAGGAATGCTAAAAATCTCAATTGAATTTCAGTGGCTTTAAGCCAAAAACCTTCAAAGTGATCGTACGAAGGTGAAATTAGGCTCAAACGAAAGAGAATAACCGTGCCATCATCATAAAGTATCTACTGATTATAACTGACTGAACACAACATTCTCTTGGTCCAAAACTTTATTTAAGTGTTAAATACTGAGAAATTATTCAAAAAGCCGTCAAGTTTTCCAAAAAAATTCATTTGAGTGCTAAATCCTAGCAAAAGACTAGAATAACATTAGAGAAATGACAATAAACTCCCCAAGATTGATAGTTATTCAAATGCTGAAATTTAGGCGAAAGACTAGAAAATCAATCGCGAAACGGCAGTTTGAAATTCTCAAAAATAAAAGTTTATTTGTGTGCGGAAGTCTGGGCAAAAAACTAGAATATCAAGAAATGACAGTTCAAAAGCTTCACTAATGATATTGCTGAGTCTGTCAACGACAGACCATTCTGATGTGCGAAGAACATCCTGCTAATATGCTGGAAGCAATGACCTCAACCTACGCAAGGAAAGATTGCAATAACAGTTTGAGGCGAAATTTTCCTTATAAATAGTAGCATAAAGGGTGAAAACCATTTATCGTTACTACCAATATCTCAACTTCCCATGTCTTACGACGATTATTTTTATTCCCACATGCAGCATCTGCTGCAACAATTTTATTCTTCGGCAGACCCCAATTGTGTTCCTGTACTAAATTGGGAGCCTCAGGTGATTTTGGTAGCAATTGTGGTAGTTTTAACTACTGAGTGGGATTTCTTGATGTGATTTGCTCGAAATTCAGAACTCAAAA